TGAGTATTATTATAACCAGCACATAAGATCACAACACAGATCTTATCGAAATTTTTTTATTATGATATTAGTTGAAGTATGATCAAATAGCATAGAAAAATAGAGCATTCTTTCCTCTATCAGACTATATACAAAGAAAGTCTCTTAAAGCTTTTTATAAGGAATAAAAGTACTACTGCCACTACTTTTGGATTGCCCTAAGTAGCTTCATTCATGTAAAAGAAGATGATTTTATTGTTTTCTCAATTGTCGAGAGAATCTTACTTGAATGAAATCTTGGTCGGACATGGATTCGAGCATTAACTGCAATAAATCTGTTCGACCAGTCTGACCAATATCTTTACGTTTTTCGATCATTTCGTCGGCTTGTTTCATAATCCATGTGCTAGGACTTTCGTCAATAAGTGGCTTTGTAATGGGAATATAGCGCCGAAGCCAATAGCGGATAACATTCATTACCTGAAATATACTTCTCCAGACTTTTGTTAATTCTGTTATCAAAATAGCCAAAACGAATATTATTCCACGAAACATATTCGGTGAAAACATCTTTTGTGTATTGAGAAGATACGGATCATTGACATTATTTTGCATGTCAGTGTCGACACCAAAACCACATGACCAAATAGTATCCATTGTGAATCGTTTGAAATATGCATAAATATCAAATGGTTCATTTCTGGCACACTGATCTGCCATTTTTTCCATTAAAATATTGGTACTTCGATGAATCAACGGTGGCATTTGTTTGAGTTTTAGCGAGGAAAATGTTGGATTGAGAACAAATCGTTGTCGTTTCCAGCGAAGACCAACAGCATTGAACAGATGAGCATCCTTTGCTTCTGAACTCATAAAAGGAGATTCACGACGAGAATGAAACTTCGAAAATGATTTAACAAAAACATCTTGGAGAACGTCTGGATCCGATATGACAAGAATAGGGGTATGTCCTTCAAAATAACCAAAGATGTGTCCATACTTGTCAGTCCATTGCTGGATTGCAACCGATGGTCTTCTAAAAAGCCAAGAGTCTTAGTGGTTCTCAGAAAAATTGTTCACTTTTCCTTATTACAAATTTAAAAACACTCAAAATTGGATATTGAATCCCTTCTAACTAGACGAATATCACTCTAAATTTTCCGATCTCTACTCCTTACTATAGGGAATATATGTAAGTTCATATAATAGAGAAGATTTTTTTCATGTCTCAAAAAAGCAAAAAAAATATAGAATAATTAGTTTTCACTGTTAATACAACAACAAATAAAAGAATGTTTTACATTTTCATAAACCATGACAATTTTTTTTTCTGTTGATTTAATAACCCTCTCTGTTAATTAAACATTGTAATCTTCTTAATATTCAATTCATCAATTTTAAACACATTTTTGGACTGATGGTTCTCCAAATCTCTATAGTTTCGGTTTTCAACATCGTCTAATTTTTTTTAATATTTAAACAATTGCAAAAATGAGAAATTGTTGAGAAAGTTTTGTCGAAAATGAATGATGGGCAATGTTCAGATATTAACATACATCCAATCAGAATTAAAGATATATAAAAAATTATACTACAGACATCTAACTAATCTTAAGATATAATTCAATTCGTTATAATTCTTTTAATATGTAACCCCTCGCTATTTTGATTTTAGGACATGGAAAAAAAATCTGCTGTATCATACGAATCTACATATCTTCCCTATAATAAGAACTGGAGATCTGAAAATTTAGAGTAATATTCGTCTTGTTACGAGGAATTCGATATGCAATTTTGAGTGTTTTCGGTTTGTAATAAGAAGGAACGATCAAGACTTTTGGCTCACCCTTTAGCTTTAATGATTTCTGAAAGATTACCAAAGAAAAACTTTGGTGTTGGTCCTGGAATACCGAGTCGAATGAAAAAATTGTAAGCTTTTCGAATGTGCCATAGATATACAGCGGCAACAACACATAGTAAAGCAACGAGAATACCTGTGAGTAAAAACATTTTTGTTGTGCTTTTTTATGCCACGACAACACAGTGAATAAGTAACCATCTCTTTTTTTACATTCTTACAGCGGGGTCATGAAAAAAAAATCTCTTATCTTTCTTTCCTTTCTGTCGCTTCACTAGACTGCGCTAGTCGATTACATGTTTTTCTTTTCGTATTAAAATGGTTTATTTATATCAAGGATGTGGGTGTGGGTGTGCGTGTGGGTATAAATAATAGATACAAAACCCACACCCACACCCACCCTAGATAGTGTAATTTATCTTGTTAAAAATATGAAAAATCTTCGATCATCAGGAATTCAATGTGAAGATGACAAGAATCATAAACAATTATCACTAGACAAGAATGATAATGATAAATATGTTGAGGAAAAAAATGGAAAATGAAGATGAAGTTGTTAAATGGTTAAAAGATCATTTACCATCAACGTGTTTAGTTTTTAGAGTTCCGGGTTACATTAAAGATATGTTAATATGGATTTAATAAAACAAGAGTGAATCTATTAATTACTTCTCAAACACAGATTATTGTGATGGATATCATTCAAGAAGAATATTGTTTTATTATTGAACAGAATTTTGCTTCATAAAAATAAAATTAATCAAATTTAATTAAGCTGATATACCGGGTGTACGAAAATTTTTGCGACATTTTTAATTTCACGTATAGCTCCACTTGACAAAATGATAAAACGTTGATCTATTTTTTAAGAGATACGCCGTAAAAAGTGCTACATAAACTGTATGAACAAATCCCGATTGACTTGCTTTGATAATTTTTCTAGATCGTTAAAAATGAAGATCCGCATAATGTCGCTACTGAGTGTCCCAAAATGTTTACACCATTTTTAATTTCGCATATATCTCGGCTTGAAAAAATGATAAAATCTTAATTTTTCTTTTAAAAGGTGCGTCGTGCAAAGCTCTACAAAAACTGTTCAAACAATCCCTAGTGAGTTGTTCTGATGGCTTTCCCTATACTCAAAATGAAAAACTACATGATAGTGCTACTTTCTACTATACTGGATCTGTTTGGAAGGTCTTTTGTTCTGAATATATCTCGGTCTGAGTAAATGATAACATCTTGATTCTTCTTGTAAAAGATGCGCCGTCAAAATCTCTACAAAAGTTGTGTGAACCAATCCCTATTGCAAAACAAAAAAGGTCTTGCAAAGATTTTTTATTACTCTTAATACGGTGAGAAGTAGCACTGGCATTTAGCTTTTTCATTTTGGGTATGGGGAAATCCATTAAAACAAGTCAATAGAGATTTATTCATACAATTTTTGTAGAACTTTTCACAGCACATCTTTTAAAAGAAAAATCAAGATTTTATCATTTTCTCAAGTCGAGATATACACAAAACAAAAAAGATCTTTGAAAAATTTTTATTACGGTGGGACAAAGCACTTACCATTTTGTCAAGTCGAGATATATGTGAAATTAGAAATGTCGCAAAACTTTTGGCACATCCGGTATAAAGACAAAAAAGTGAAAATATATCGAAAACAATTTAATTTTTCTTTTCTTGAGAATGAAAATTTGGGTGTGGGTGTGGGTGTGAATGTGAGTGTGGGTGTGGCGGGGTGTGAGTGTGGCTGGATGCTGTCGGGTGTGGGTGTGCGTGCTCTCTTTATTGACACCCATACACACCCACACCCACACCCACACCCACACCCACACCCACACCCAAATTTTCATTCTCAAGAAAAGAAAAATTAAATTGTTTTCGATATATTTTCACTTTTTTGTCTTTATACCGGATGTGCCAAAAGTTTT